TAGATTTGGTCTTTTTACATAATCCCATACTTCTTACTTAATCTTCAAACCTGAACTCTGTCCTTTTTCCTAAGAATCTATTCCTCTTCTCCTCTGTCACTCATCTGGGCTCCCAGGGCAGCCTAGGCTTGCCTCCCCTGTGGTCCTGCTCCCTACCATGTGCACTGACACACTCATCGTCTTCATTTTGGGGGCTGCTAACTTCCTGAGGGCAGTCTGATATCTGACTTTGTATCCCTTGGCATAGAGTAAGCATTCAACAAATGTCTGTTAATTGTTTTTGTGGTATTGAATTGTAAAAGTAAAAAATTCGGAAGTACTTTTCTTTCTCTAGACTAGGTTTCAGTTTTATACAAATGCCCTACTTATATATTCAGCAAATATTTTTAGAGCCTCTATTAAGACTAAGTCACAGTCCTGACCTGCAGAGATTCACTCTGAACAGACAGACATACATAAATAATTGTGTGTTAAAATCTATAGTAAAGGAGAAAAATGTGCTGTGAGAATATGCAGGGCATTCATTATGATTTAGGGAGTCTGGGAGGTGAAGGATTTAGATCCCTGCCCAAGGTTAGCATTCGGGGAGGATTTTCTCCTACATAGGGAGTAGCTCTCAGAACAACTACTTCATTGTAACAATTCATGGGTTGCAGAATGGGTTCTGCGTGTCACCAGGCAACCCTCCCGTGCACAGGACCTGCACACTTGACAAGAAAGTCATTGATGACTCCCTGAAAGTGGGAAAGGACAGAAAATCTTACATGGGGAGCAGGTGAAGAAAGATAGTAGGCGTTCACTTCCCCCTCAAATGTTTTGGTAATGATAAGAAGTAGAACTTAAAGGAGACAGCATGCTTTTCAGGATCAGAAAGATCTGTACATTTTTAAATCAGAGGGTAAGGAATTACTGGAAGGCAGGATTACCAGATAGCTAAAAGGTAAATACTGGACTGAGATCCTTTGGGTCATGAAGGCATGTAAAGTAGATCACAAGGAAGAGGGAGTCAGTATAGTCTCAAAAGAAATAAATGTTCAGTGTTGAGAACTGACTGTCTTAATGAAAGGATAAAGTTAGTCACAGTCTCGTCTTTATCCTGATGCCTGATTGGGGAGCTCTTTTAAATATACATGCATATGTACTCTGCCTTAATCCAAAAAGGTCAGAGTTGGGACTCACTGAAGATGACTGCACAGAAGATTTCTAGAAATTTTATCCATTTCATAACATTTTCTAGAACATGTTAATACTTTCCTTTAAGAAACAAAACTAGAGTCAAGCAAAGCATGTTTGTTGACTCATTCCTTCAATAAACATTTAAAGGCTGCCTACTAAGTGCAAGACACTGATCTAGAGATTAAAACATGTTTAATTTTACCCCTGACTCCTCACTCCCACTTGAGTCCTTTTTCTGGGAAGTAAAACCAGGAGTAGCAGTATCTGTTGTTAGAGAGACATTTAGCTGTTAATGATATATGAAGCTAGGTATTAGACATTTGCTAACCAGGGCAGCATTAACAATAAAATTACCACTTTTTTTTCCCAAATAATTCTCAAGAGTTTGTTATTAAAAATGTGAACCTAACCAGAAATGGTCTGTTCCTCTTTTATAATCATAAATCTTGCATTGGGGAAAAAAAGTAGGATATAAATGCATGTGAATAAAATTTAGTTAAATAGTCACACTTATGAGTGGACACCATGCAAATAAATGTATACATAAAAATTGGACAGCACTTAAAGAGATTTAATAATTCATCCCATTGCCTCTGCAGATAAAAGAACCAAAGTCCCATTTACGCGATGGCTAAAATATGGCAGATAATGATGCATTCACCTTTAATATTGCTAATAAATTTGCAGGTTCACGTTTTTATTGATAAATATTTTCTTGAAATGCAGTGTAGGAGGGCAGATTTTCAAATTTAAGTACTTTATAAATTAGAATTGTAGATAGCAATGAGATTAGTGGTGGTGCTATGTCAGGAGCCATCTACCAACTTACCTGTGCCTCTACAAGCACCTAGCTATGATTTTCATATTTCACTTTTATGTGCAACCAAATTGCATACAATTTAGGGAAAAAATTAGCATGGTAGCAGAGTAATGATCATAGTAAATATCATGCTTCTCCTTGTTGACATAAATTACATACAATATTTCAGAAAAATATTTTTGTTAGTCTAGCTTAATATATTGAAAGATTTTGCCTATAGAATTTATGTATAGAGGAAATACGTTTCTTTTAAGATTATCTCTTTGACACACACAAGAAAGGTATATTGTACAGTCCAGACAGTTTGAGGTCTAAAATTATTTTTATTCATTGCAAGCTATAAAATCTCATTTCCAGCTACATAGGCTTTAATGAAATAGTGTGTAGCTCAGGATACAGAAAGATTTCTTTCTTTTTTGGGTGAGTTCTCTCTAAAATTTCAGGGAAAAAATTTGAGAAAATGAATTTATACCTTAAAAATAATATTCCAGAATTCATCTTAAAACAGCATAGAAAGCTAAAATATATTTTTGTAACGAAAGTTTTGTTATATTTAATTACTCTATAAAATCTTGGTGTTCTTTCTACTGATTGTCCTCTGAATTAATTGGAACCTATAACTTTCTGAATTTTATTTTGTATAATTGGTAGGCTTTATGTCTCGTTCTTTTTTTCCCTGTTAAGATTCCAGAAACTTATTTCATTAGAGACCCCCATACGTTCCTTCTTACAAAGGACTTTATTAAGGTATATGTGCTGTATTTAGTGTGGAAAGTGTTCTTTGGTCTTTAGCTGCATGCATGTATTCACAGGTTAGCTTTTCCACATTTAACCCCAGCTTCTGGAAATAAGAATAGTGACTGGGTTAACTGAAGCATGTTTGGAAGGAGAAGCAAAGCTTGTCTACAAAATACTAACACTTGGATGATTCTGCACCCTGAGAAAAGAGCACCCATTGAATTTTCTGGACTTTTTTTCATGGCTGACTTGGGATACACTTGCATTGTCAAAGAGTGTGTTGGCCTCTCTCTTTGATGCATATTGATTATGACAATCACCCTCCTTCCCCTGCAGGCCATGGAGGCACAGATACAGAACTTTGGACAGACGCCATCTCAGTTGCTTATTGAGCCACATCCGCCTCGGAGCTCTGCCATGCACCTGGTAAGACATATCAGCATGTTGAGGTTTTTTTTTTTCTTTCCTTTATACCTGGGAATAGAGCAAATAGTGATTTTAACAGCATATTTTAAAAGGTTTCTCGATTTATTGGTTAACTCTTCAGCCTAAGAACAAACTAATACCCTAGGGAGAGACCGAGAAGGGAGTGTAAATCTACCTTTAAGCCTTACTTAAGCGATCCCACTTTTGGATTCAAAAAAATAGCCATCTTCTCTATGTATGCCTCTACATAAACTCATTCATGCACACACAGGCATAGAGACACACACTGACACCAGAATTAGACTGTATTTGTAAATTACAGTGAAAAATATATTGCAGACACAATATGATATTGCCAAATTTCAGGGCAAGATACAGTAGTATCTTGTAGTTCATTTGAAGAAAAGGAAAGAAATATAAAGGTAATTTATGGTTATTGCAGAGAGGTTGTTGAACAGAGTGGTTAAGAGTAAGGGCCCCAGAGCCAGACAGGCCAAACACCGTCTCTGCGCTAGCTAGTAAATGACTTGGGCAAGGTATTTAACCTCTCTGTGTTTGCATTTCAGCATCTATAAAATAGAGGTAAAAATAGTACCTACTACTGAGAATTGAATGATTCAATACTGTATAGCACTTAGACCAGCAACTGTCATACAATAAGTTCTTAATAAATGTTAGCTGACATCATCATAATTAGCTACTGGTTAAACCTCTTATTCCCCCTTTTCTAAGGGAGTCATATTCTTTTCACTTTAATCTGAATTAAAAGTCCATTTCCATTTAAAAAGTTTCTTTACAGATTATTAGCAAATAGTAAACATTTTCTTCTTTAAGTAATTTGGAAAAGGTAAAATTTTTATGAGCAATTTCTTTAGAATTTATTTTTAAACTGATTTTTCACTATTTTTTTACTGAAGTAAAAAATACTTGAAGGTAAAAATGTGTTCACAAGATGAACTTCAAGACAACAAGTACTCTAATTTTAGAGTAAAGAGCTCTGGAATATGGTCCATAATGTGTGTGTAAACAAATGTATAAGCTGTTATTTCGTGATGGAAGTATTAATCACACCTTTCATTTACTCTGTCATTTAACGAATTTTTATTGAGCCCTTTCTGTGTGTCAGATCTGATGCTAAGCACTGGAGATACGGTCACAAATACTTTCTCTAACCTTTCAAAAAATCAGTAGTCAAACTTTTGGGAAACACATAAATGCTTTTTTTTTTTTTTTAAGACAGAGTCTCACTCTGTCACCCAGGCTGGAGTGCAGTGACGCAATCTCAGCTTACTGCAACCTTCGCCTCCCAAGTTCAAGCAATTGTCCTGCCTCAGCTTCCTGAGTAACTTGGATTACAGGTGCGCACCACCACCCCTGGCTAATTTTTGTATTTTTAGTAAAGACAGGGTTTCACCACGTTGGTCAGGCTGGTCTCGAACTCCTGATCTTGTGATCTGCCCGCCTCGGCCTCCCAAAATGCTGGGATTGCAGGTATGAGCCATTGAGCCTGACCTAAATGCATTTGTTTTAAACCTGTTTTTAAGATAAGGTCTCACTCTGTTACACAGGCTAGAATATAGTGGCATGATCATGGCTCACTGCAGCCTCAAACTCCTGGGCTCACACGATCTTTCTTCCCCAGCCTTCTTAGTAGCTGGGACTACAGGTGTGTGCCACCATGTCTGGCTAAATTTTTTAAATTTTTTGTAGAGATTGGGTTTCACTGTTTCCCAGGCTGGTCTTGAACTCCTGGGGACCCTCAGTCTCCCAAAGTGCTGGGAATACAGGCATAAGCCGCCATGCCTGGTGTGTGTTTAAACTTTTTTTTTTTTTTTTAAACCTTCCTACAACAGCTCAGCCAAACAGCTTTGTCCCCCTTGGTTAGTCACTAATGAACTCTTTTGACTGCAGTTGGTCCTTCTGTATGACTAAACAGAAAGGTTTGCACCAAGCTCAGGCTGTCGCTGTATAAACCCTCAGCCACATTGTAGACACAGAGATGTGGCCTTGGAGCCTCACCATTTTTAATAAACTGTCCAGGAGGATATCTCTAACACTTTATTTTATGAAATGCTTTGGCAGAAGAGTTTTATTCCCGTGTTAGTTTTCTGTGTTTAATAATAATAATAAAAATATTTATCCTGGAGATATGCCCAGTCAGAATTCATTACTTTCCTAGGGGAAGTTGTTAGAGACTGAATTGGCATGAAACTGTTTATAAGAAAATCTAAGCTTTCTAAGTTCATCTAGCAGAGAATTCATATATACTGCAAACCATCATGAAACATGTATGAAAGCTAAATCATGGTTATTTCCAACCTCCCTACTTTGTGTTTTTAATATGGTGGTATTTGTAGTGTTTTGTAGGACTTATAGTATCCACTTTCTGTCAAGTCATATGCTAGATGTTTACAAAACAGAAAGAAGAAAGCACATGGACACACGAGGGGGAACAACACCCACTGGGGCCTGTCGTGGGGGTGGGGGTGGCAGGAGGGGAGCATCAAGAAGAATAGCTAATATATGCAGGGCTTACTACCTAGGTGATGGGTTGATCTGTGCAGCAAACCACCATCACTCATGTTTACCTATGTAACAACCTGCATGTCCTGCACATGTATCCTGGAACTTAAAATAATTTTTAAAAAAA